TAAACTTTATGTAAAATCTCAGTTAAATATTCAATAAAGATAGAGGCATGGCCTTACCATTAACATTAAAAAAAAAATTTATAGAAACAAAATAATTTATCACAAAACAAAAAAATATCTTGAATAGTATAAAGACATTTCTTGGAGAGAACATATTAGAATATATGATTTCTGTTTTTCTTAAATAAAAAATACAGAATGCTGATAAGGATGAAATAAGATAAGCTTGGAATTCAAAAATTGCTTTATTCATTGGAAGTATAGGAAACTAGTAAGAGATATTTCCAAATTCTGATTACTTTCCTTTAGAACATGAAAATCATCAATTAAAATTAAGAAAAATTAAGGATTTTAATTTGAGCACATCAGGTTTCTATACTTCAGAAAGACTTGAATCTGTTTGATAAAAACAAGAAAGAATTATGCATAAAATGCAAGAGAAGGAAAGACTTGCAAAAGAGAAGTATGAAGAAAGGTTAAGAATAGAAGAAAAAGAAAGAGCTAATAGAACATACTAAGAAGAGATGAATAGAATGAGAACTGAATTTAAGCAAGACAAAAGGATTTTTTGGATATAATGATAAATGATATGAGAATTCTTTTTGATGAAATAAAAACTGAATTATGTAATTTAAGTATCAAAGTTGCACAACTAGAATTAGAAAAAGGGCAACTCAAATCAAATAGAAATGAAATGGAATCAATTCAAAAGAATTTGGAAAATGAAATCAATGAATTGAAAAGACAGCTTAATGAGATATAACAATTTTATGTCTTATAATATTTGCATTTTTATTTTATATGATATAAAGAGTCAATTCTCATAATTTCATTTTCACTTATTTGTATAATTAAATTTCTATAGAAATCCTAATCTTGTTTTGCTCTTGATACAAAGGTGCAACTCACCAGCAGTGAATTGGTTGAAATGGCTGAACTCCAAATTGGTGATCTTGTTTTAAGTGGTATCAAAAATAATCAATTCGATTTTTCTGAAATTTACTTGATATCTCATCTGGGACATTTTGATAATCCTTTTTATATGATAAAAATTAAATTCACAAATCCTGATGGAAGTCAAGGTAATTTACTTTTTCATCTACTAACTTCTCTTAAGATCTTTGTGTTTATAATACCTTGATTTAAACAGATTATATTCGTATGACACCTACACATTGCGTATTTAATAATGATTTGTCACTTTTATACGCACTAGATGTAGTACCAGGTGAAACCAAATTCTTAGTTTTGAATAAATCAAATGAAATTATTCCTGTTATTGTTGATAGTCTTGACATTGTAAGATTTTTATGTTCATTTTGACCAAGCTTTCATGACCTAATGATAAATTATCTTTTAATATTAGGAAAAAAAAACGGGCAATATCAGTTTTTATACACGTTCCGGTACTGTGATCGCAAACAATATTTTATGCTCATGCTATGATGATTGTCCAAAATCACAACTTTTAATGGACTTAGTATTCGCACCAATCCGATTGTGGACTAAAGTATTTCCTTCTAAATATCGTCAAAAGGAACTTCACCCATATGTGCAAACCTTGGAGATCGCTTATACAATTTTATGTAGAGCATTAAAAGGAATTAAAATGATTAGACAAAAGGCTGTAACTGTTCTGCGTCAATTATTGTCATTCTTAAATTTAAAAATAGCTTGGGTCAACGTTTTGTTCGTTTCTGAATAGTGCAATATCTGATATTATATTTTGCAGTTAGTAAATAAATAAGGGTTTAACTTATAAACGCATTCAAAGACGAAATATAACAGTAGATTTCTTTAATGTAATATTTTGTATGTCGCGTAAGAAATTACATAAAATTAGGTTACTAGACTTTTGCAAAATTTTATGAAATCCTAAGATAATTTTATGCAAATTAATCCTATAACGAACGATAAATCCTATAACGATAATGAATGAAAATATTGTATGTAATAATATCATTTAAGTATAGTTATTTGTAAATTCCAAATTTTTTCAAATTTAACTTCTTAGTATTAAAATATATATGTTGTGCGTCAGACTTCAGCTAACGAACGTCAAATGACTACCAGATGACCAGCGTTAACTGATCTGCAATAATTGGCCTAAATTACCCTGTAAGTTTCACCCTAACCCTAATCGATATATTGTGAGCCCGATTTTTGGGGTCACGGGTGTCTGTTGTGAGCCGCGAAACGTGATCTCGGGAGCACGTGGAAGGAGGTGGT